ATTTCAATTGTCTGCAGAACAGGAAAATGCGACACAGATTCCAAGTGATGTATATGATGCGGGTGGGTTCGAATACACGCATTCCTCCACCGATAGGAAGATTGGACGAGTAAAGACATGATTTCGCCGTCTTCTGCGAGATTGCGGCTGTAACAGACGGCCACCAAACTGAGAGGGTGTTCTCCTGTGCGCTCGAAATATGTCTGCAATATCTCGCGAGCGTGCTTGGAGAAAGGCGATTTCACCAAGACATATCGAGCCCAGGACGCTGGTGAGGTGTGTAGAATATCTCTCCAAAGTCCACAGACGCGACCCAAAACCCAAAGAGGTCCAGTCATGTCTTGACTATCATGTGTGCTGTCGTACTTTTCTGCATCCTGCCGCCAAGAGTCGCAAACAGAATGGAAGATTTCAAGGAGAATATCTCGGGGAAGACGACGGATGGGGGTGAAGACCGACTTGCGATTTTCCAGGGATTTCAGGACTGCATGAAGCTGCGTACTGTGCCAAGACCCCAACCATTCTAGCTTCGCAATTTCGTCGTTTATCGGGGCATGGTCAGATCCGAGCAATGGCCGTGACCCGCGTAGAATCTGTGAAACTAGGCTGTCGGAACACTGGGTGGCTTTGAGAGCGTCTGACTGTGGCTCGGGAGGAAGGGAATTGACGAATCCGCAATTGCTGCAGGTGAGGCACGACATTGAGGTGTGAATATTTGAATGTTGGAAGACGGTTCAGGAAATTTTTGGAGAGAGATGAATTTGTATACGATTTTCGCTACAGATCGAACGAAGTCAGCCTGGTAAGCCGCGTTATAGATAGTCACGTAACTCGTACCTGCGTATAAGAAGTTGAGCGGATGAACGAAAGGAACACACGTGCCACTCTCCCAGCCCGGGTCCCGGCGATTCTGCCACCGAGCTTAGCCACTGCGACGTGCATTCGAATTCGTGATTCTCCTAACACCATTGTTGGGCGGCGAACATTCTCTAATGGCAGCCCCCCGTATGTTCTGTGATCTCAGCCTATGTCTACTCAGTCTCACTGATGTCTTTTCACATTATCACGGTAGTTCGATTCCCCAAATGGCACAAATCCTTTCATTACTGCGTAAACTTGTAAACCGCCAACATTCTCGGGCGACAACCAGAAAGGTGCAGAATGCGACGAATATGACAGAGCTCGTCAAGCAGTCTCAGGCTTAATAATGACCGATCATGGTCTATCTCAGACTCTATATTCCACGGTCGAATCGACTACTTCCACTGGATCACTATACTTTGACAGCGACGTCCCAGTAGAGCTTATCTGTTTGAATGAAGGAGAGGCCTATCAGCCAATCCAAATTCCATCAACCACTGACGATACTGTGGCCTATCTCATCACCCAAGCATGCGAACTCATCAAAAACATCTAGGGCGACACCTGGCTCCCTTGGGCGGACCCAATGCTATCACGTCTGCTATGCTCGATTGTGCTCCCAACGTATGCTATGTCGCCTTAGCAATATTCGCCTGCAAAAGCATCAGTCAACTGGCTTTACTACTATGGCTCACGCATCTCCTATGGCCGTGCCCGTTCCCTCTGCATAAATCTGACTTTCGCTACTGTCAAGTAGTCAAGGCGCTAAACTGGGAAATAATCGACTCGAGAAGAGAAGCGGCTGCATTCCGACCTACGAAAACAAGTCCTTTTCACCGTTTATAGGGATCTGACCCAGTTCATCAACTCCCGGCTAGATACACAGATCGATTTCTGGATCTATCACGCGAGGGGATCATGCAGAACTATATCGACCCCGTCAGTTCCGTCCAGCAACCTCAAGCTCAGCACCTGCTCAACTTTTAGGATTGCAATTGGGGTAAGTGAACCATCGCCAAGCCTTCAAGCTTACACGGCACATCTACAATAGAACCCCAGTGAATACGCTGTCGAGAGGTACGGAGAACGCCTATGGTGGCCCGTACTCAAACAATGTTATCGTCGTCAAAGAGAGTACCCTGCCTGATCCATGATACCTGCATGCGTACTCCAACGAAGCGGAGCGGGAAATGTGTTGGCCCTATCGGACGCTGCATCCAGAAGATCTTTAAGGAAGCTTGACCGCAATTGGGCTTCGGTACTCGCTAATCTCTCCCTTGCAGTTACCCCAGATTGACGTTGGATCCCTTGTCTAATCACACTGTACGTCTATTCTGTTATGACTGACATCCAGTTGAAGGGCTCATACCGAACCCAGGTTGTTACGAAAATTTGTACAGCTTGAAGCAGCTCTTATAGATAGACTATTGCTGTATCTAGCGCTGCAATAGAAATGCCGAAAGATATAGAGCTTGCCTGCAATTTATACTAGGTGTAGAATACCCCAGACTCGGAGTAGGTACTCGGTTTCTGACCTCCAAAGAAGTTTAGTTCAGACTTTTACACTTCCGAAGCAAACCTAGCTCTACGACCCAACAGTGATGTACAAGTGGTGTTAAGAACTCCAGACATAACCCTCTAGTTTCACGAGACAAGGCTCACACTCGGATTGGTAAACAACTACTTGAACACAGCACCACATACATTAGTATCAAATTCCTGTTACCTATTCTCATGGTAGCATGGATCTATCAACGCTGTCTAGTCCCCCAAGCACTAGATATTCTCGTTTGGGAAAAATCTATCTCATCATGCTCTAGGAAGATAGAAACTTTACCAAAACTGGGGCAATTCTGAGCCCGAAAATGAGTACCGATAGTCCAGATCCAGCGGACTCCACTCCTCGACCCGCATCTCCACATTATCCCCAATGACAGCTCGGATATCTGCTTCCATAATGTAAGTAGGAGAAATACTCCTCTCAAAGGAAGTTTCGGTCATCTTCAGCACTCCTGCTTTACAGCGAGAGCGGATCATATTGAGTAGGTCAAGCCGTTTCGTCTTGTAAAGGAGAGACCCACACGCAAAGCAGAGGACAAGATGGCGCAGATTGGGTAAAATTGAAGAAGGGGTAAGGATCTTGGAAATGTCATTGCAGTTCGGACCGAGTTCGAGTTTGAGGTGAGAGATCGTTGAACATGCTTCTGATGAGAAGATCTTGCTGATTAAGGCTGCTAGTCCTTGCGCGGACATACCCAAGCTCTCGAGACGACATCCAGATCGACGGAGGAAGGGGGCAATGCTGGACGACGACAGCGATCCCTCAGAAACTTCAACAATGGTGAGGCTTTGGAGCATCGGTGCCGTTAGGAGATCGAGGGCATCTGAATCCTCTACATACAGTTGGCGGAGCTCCGCCATAACCACCGGCACCGCGTCGGTCGGCGACGTCTCCCTGGACCGGAGGTGACACGTTCTAAGCTTTGATAGCTGGGAAAGGAGCTGTAGATCTTCTGCACAAGTGATGCATCCGGAATAATGAGTTATCCCGGACGGTAACCTGACTCGATGGATCCCCTGGTTTGGAAGAGTTGCTTGCCATAGCTGCGAGGCTTTCAAGCACATGTCCAAGGACATGTCTGAGGGATAGCCATAATCATCACAGATGTACATTTCAATTGTCTGCAGGACGGGAAAATGCGATATAGATCGCAAGTGGTGCGTATGGTGGATGTCGATTCGAATACACACATTCCTCCATCGATGGCAAGATTGAACGAGTAACGACATGATTTCACCGTCTTCTGCGAGATTTCGGCTGTCACAAAGGGCCACCAGACTGAGAGGGTGTTCGCCTGTGTGCTCGAGATATGCCTGCAATATATCGCGAGCGTGCTTGGAGAAAGGTGACTTCACCAAGACACACCGAGCCCAGGACGCTGGCGAGGTGTATAGAATATCTCTCCAAAGTCCACAGACGCTATCTAAGACCCATAGAGGCCCGGTCATGTCTAGACTATCATGTGTGCTGTCTAGACGATCATATGTGCGATCGTCCTCTTCTGCACGATGATCATTCTGCCACCAAGAATCAGAAACAGAATGGAAGATTTCAAGGAGAATATCTCGGGGAAGACGACGGACGGGGGCGAATAACGACTTGCGATTTTCCAGGGATTTCAGGACTGCATGAAGCTGTACACTGTGCCAAGACCCCAACCATTCTAGCTTCGCAATTTCGTCGTTTATCGGGGCATGGTCAGATCCGAGCAATGGCCGTGACCCGCGTAGAATCTGTGAAACAAGGCTGTCGGAACCCTGGGTGGCTTTGAGAGTGTCTGACTGTGGCTCGGGAGAAGGGGAATTGACGAATCCGCACTGATTGCTGCAGGTGAGGCACGACATTGAGGTGTAAATCTTGGAAGATGGCTCAGGAAGTTGTTGGAGTCTTGGAGAAAGATGGCAATGTATACCGACCCTCGCTACAGAACGAACGAAGTCAGCCTGGTAAGTCACGTTATAGATAGTCGCGTAACTCATACCGGTACCTGCGTATAAGAAGTTGAACGGATGAACGAAAGGAACAAACGCCGTGCCACTTAAATAAAAGCCTGGGTCTCGGTGATCCGGCCGAGCTTCGCCACCCGACGTGCATTGGAATTCAACGTCACTGTTGGGCCGGCGAAGCATCCTCTAACGGCAGCCACTCGTATCTTCTGTGATCTCAGCCTAAGCCTATTCAGTCTGATGTCCTTTCATATTGTCACAGCAGTTCGATTCCCCAGATAGCAAAACGCAGTGCGATAGAAATGCCGAATAATGTACTTAGCTCACGTCCTAGGTGTATCTGTTTTTCAGCGGTTTTTGATTACACAACCATCACCTAGGAAAAATTCAATGCAAACAGACATAGGACACGGTGTGAACCAACTGTGATGATTTGTTCATTCAAACGCCGATGCCCCAAAAATGTGATAGCAGCTAGAGACTCTTATCAAAGGTGGGTGGAGAAAGGAGAGACCGTGCTCACAATCCTGCAGCCTGGAAATGTCTTTCCGACCAGGGAGACAACCTATTGCCAAACTAACAAGTTCTTAAATCTGTTAAAACTTTGAAAAAAATATGTTGTGTTTAATGCATTCGGATACGGGGAATCGAACCCCGAGCTGCCGCGAAGGGTACAGTATACGTGCAAATGAAAGGCGGCAATGTTAACCGTTACACCATATCCGACCAACATGGATATGAGCTCCCTTATTTCAGAATGACACGCGGAATTTACCCGCCCTACCAAATGATATCGCAGGTGGGGGGTGCCTCCCGCAGAGAACGAAACCGGACATGTGTAACGAGAGAGGAATTCCACGAGAGCAGTTCTTCCTCTTCCACAGTGTAGTGGTATCGCATTAGTGTTTACGATTTAGTGCGAGAGCGAAGGGTACCTCTTCCTCAAGCGCAGAGAAAAGAGTCGTGCAAGGTCGCTGGCAATCGGATTCGCAAAAGCGCGGATGAGACGACGTGTGTAATCAGTCACAATAACGACACTCTTCCTTCCACGGGTGATGAGTTCGTATCTCGAACGCGATCATTCACAGGCAAGGGTAGATGGAAAATGGAGAGCGCAGCGTGGTATGTTGGCATGGAGTCATGAATGCCTGGAGAGAAACGTAAAGAGGGAGGTGGGAGAGGGCGGCGGGTGAATTTTGAGGACAGAAGGGAAAGGGGTGGTAGTACTAGCTCGCGCATTCTCCATGGCCATGGAGAGGGTTGACGGAGTAAAGTTTAAACTGAGTAGCAAGAGAGAGGATCGGCCAATGAAGTGCAGCCCTTGCTGTCTTCAAGATCTGTGAATCTGATTTACAAGACCATCGCATGCCCTCCTGAAGTGACAACAAAGTTGAGTCTGGACTCTGGGGATGAGCGTGCCACGCGAACAAAAGAACTCTCCAGATTCAGATTTAGGTGAACACTGCACTTAAACTGAAAACTCAACTGTTAAACAAAGCATGATCGCCGGCGCAAGGGCAAACTTGGAAGCTTTACCAAAAACTAGATAGATGCCGAATTATTCGGATACGGGGAATCGAACCCCTGGCTGCCGCGAAAGAACATAGTCCGCATCCTAAAAGACAGGTGACGATGATAGCCGTTACACCATATCCGATAACACAAAATATTCCTGCACTGAGTAAGCATATCTCAGGAAGCGATAGTGCTGGATTGCGGCAGCGGTCACTCCAAATTCGTCCGCCTCTCTATTCGTAGTACGAATCGGTGCCTTCCCTCATAAGTAAAGGGCCCCCAAAAGAGAGCAGAGGGGGGTAGGTGCGTGGGTTGATGGAGTGACGCTGGGAGAGGGAATGAGCTCCCCTCATTCGAATCCGATCTTCGTGGAGGTATGACGCCTGTGCCTGGATCGGACGCGTTAAAGAATGTATTCCTTGGGAGGATGGTACTCGAAACCGATTTGGTATTGTGTGAAGAACCGTCTGCGAAGAGGCTGGAGAGGAAACCTGGGAAAGAACGATGAAACACCAATTTCTCCGGCTACCTACGCCAGCGATGGAGATGGCCATGACACACCCCCCTTCGTCCGTGCGCGAGAAGACCCTGCAAGTGATTTGGGACAGTCTTCCTCTTCTGTGGTAGTGCTTTTGGGATAAATGGCAAATTGATAATCAAGTTCGGTATGGCATCTCGTTATAGAGACGAGTGTTTGGTTTGGGGCGAGAGAAGGGACGGGACTTTGGAGTACCCTGGGCCGGGGTTCGGATAGTCGCGCGCTTTGGCCATGTACCCCAAGTGCAGCATGCGACATTGTGCGGGGAAGATGGAAGCAGGGTGGAGCAAGACTCGTGCTACTTGGTCTTCCCAGAGCAGAGGCGTTGGTGAGAGCAGGTGGCGGGAGTGTGTGCGAAAAGGATGGTAGTTCTCTACGTGACGACGCGCTACAATCCGGCCATTGAACTTGAAGAGACGTGGAGGTCGAATGGCGTTGCGAGACATGCATGCTAGCGCTAGGGTTCCGTGATGAGCTTTTTCACGGGCAAGCAAATAGAAATTGGGTAGCGCAAAGAATGCTTGATGGACGTACGTGTTGGTGTGCGAGTGGGAGATGACTCTGGGATCAAGGGTTCTGTGAGGTTCGGAAAGATGACGCCAGAGAGTGAGGAGAGCTTGACATGACTTTATCGAAAGACGTGATAGGTTTTCGCGGGCAGAGGGGTTGCGCGTAGCTGGTCGGGTAGACTGTGAACATCAAATCAGGCAAGAGACGCAAGCGTCGCACCTCTACCTGCGCTGAAAACTTGATCGCATCCCCGAAACCAAAGACGACTACAGTGCCAGACTTGACGCGAGGAACGACAGAGTGACGAGATCGAGAGTCCCTACTTGAGGCTGGTAGTCAGATGCGCGCGCAAAGAGATGACGGTACAGGGCGGGTACATGTCGGTGGTCGTTGACGCGTGAAAGCAAAGTCGGACAAATTCAGGGCCAGAATGGCGGCGCCGGACAAATACCGGCCCTATCTGGGGCCCCGCTTGCTTCTGTCTCTCATGGCCTCTCTCTTCCGCGCGTACAAGTCTGTCCTCTTCCGTCTCTCTACAACTGCCCACTAAGCCAATGACAGCGCGCTCCTCATCCGGCGGCCGATGCTCGCCCAGTGCGGCACCGCAGCCCTCCTCTTTGGCACCGGCGACATCATCGCCCAACAGCTCATCGAGAAGAAAGGCCTCAGGCGCCATGACGTGCGTAACCCATCCCTCCATCCCTTCCCCGCCTCCTAACAAACACGTAGTTCACCCGCACCGTCCGGCTCACCTTCTACGGCGGCGCGCTCTTCGGCCCAGTAATGACATGGTGGTACCAGTTCCTCAACCGCATCCAGTTCGCCTCTCCCACCCGCGCCATCGTCTACCGCGTCTGGCTCGACCAAGCCGTGCTCACCCCTTTTGCCGTCGGCGCGTTCTTCACGTGTATGTCCGTGCTCGAGGGCGTCCCACAGGAAGCGTACCCGCGCATCCAGGCTGCATACGTCCCGACCATTCTCCGCAATTGGGGCGTCTTTATACCTACTCAGATCATCAACTTTGCTCTCGTTCCGCATCATATGCGCTTCGTGGTGGTTAGTGTTGTTAGTTTGTTCTGGAGTGGGTGCTGTCTTTTCTTCGTGGTCCGCCGCTGACACGTCAACAGACACGTACCTCAGTGCGGTGAATGCACGCCAAGCCAAGTTGGAGCAGGAGGAGAAGGAACACGAAAAGGTACCCATGAAGATGGTGTAGCGGTACGTCATCTTTGTTGTCGACGTCGACGTGTACTCATCTTTCTCACAGAGAATATATTCACCTGTTGGTATTAATTTATAGAGCCACCTAGATACTTCTATATATCTGCCATCATTTCTTGCACGTCCATCCAGTCACAGAGCACGTCAAGGGAACGACTACCAAGACCTAGGTGCGATGAAAAGTACAGTCAAATCTAACTTGGCTCTCCTCACGAATACCATCTTGATGAACTCAGCTCGCACCCAGCGACTAGTTCATAGCACGCACCCGCCATTCGTCCTCTACCCCTTCAATGAGTGCGGAATAGAAAAAGGAGGTCAAAGTTTCCTCCTCCCCTACTATCCACGCGCATGACCGGAGCGCCTACCACCTAGAATAACTTCTCGCTAGGTGAGTGTCCTGCGCAGTCATACTCCGAGATGACTTTGAAAGGAAAAGGCCCTGCCCAACACCCGAACATAACCAGCACTCGTGTCAAGCCTCCCCTCCCTCTTTGCACCTTCCTCGTAGAGCACCAACACGACCAACGAAGAGAGAGAGTGACCCCTTCTCATCAACAGAGGAAGAGCCGAGGAGGAGAGGTCCTCCCTCAACATCTCAATCTTATCGAGATGTCCATGGAACACTCGGCGTCAGAAACTATGGCTTCGCATCGGCTGTTGTGCGAACAATTCGAACGACTGGTGATGGTGGATCGTCTTTTTCTGCGCTGGACAAACAGGACCCTGCCTGTTCTAGGTGTCAAGTCCAAACTTTGGGCCATATGCCGATCCAATAGCAGGCGCGCGAAGATCCAAATGCTTTAAATTTGTCGAGCATGAGTGGGTAGAACCGGAGGGCCGTGTGCTTAAAACCCATGCAGTTGGAGGGGTCTTGACTATCTATCGATTCTGTATACAAAGCAAAAGTTATCGTATGACAAGGAAAGCCATATCGCCCAGCCTCTTGGTAAACACGTCCTTTCGCGCGCCCGGTATCATCCTCCCAGTCCCTCCTCCCTCCTCCAACACTACAACCACCTTGTTCAGAGCAGGGCCCCACGTCAGGAAAACACATGAAGAGAGTAGTAAGTGGGGCAGCGCCTTTCCCTCACTACAACACAAGATCTATCTGCGTTGAACAATGAGCGACGAACGTTCGCCGTTGAGCGAGCCCATTATGGTAGCGCGCGAAACCTAGGTTTCGATACACTTGAAGTTACTGATAAGTTACCTCCTGGTTTCCCTTGCTGGAAGGATTCTTATGGAGGTGGCTGTCATCTCAGCAGTACAAATATATCCAGTACTTCCAAGCAAAACTATCCACGGGGTCAGTTACAAACATTTGTTACTGAATCGCCGGGAGGTTTCGTTACACTTGGGTTTATTACCGGTAACTTACTGGTAGGTTACTTCCCCTCGCTGGAGAGGTTTTCCGTCAAGGTAACTTACACACGATGTGACTGCCTGATAAGCATAAAAATTCAATACAATTACATGTATATTTTGCATACGTGGTACAGGAGTGAATATGTAATATGTTCAGAGCATCCCCGACAAAGAAAATGTCCCAAAATGCAGTTGCCGCGCGTCCGTCATGGGATTGTGCACATGATAGGTAAGTAACGGTAAGTTGCCGTATCAAAACATCCCACTCGGGGAGGGGTCAGTAAAAAACGGTTAGTTACCCCACTGGAGGTTTTCGCGCTATCCTAGAGCCCATGTCCAGGTTGAAAAAAGCATTGATCTAAGTCTTGTTATATTATTTCGGATACGGGGAATCGAACCCCGAGCTGCCGCGTATCAAGCATGGAAAGCACGCACGATGAGAGGCGGCAATGTTAGCCGTTACACCATATCCGACTACGCCTTTCTTGCTCTTCCTTACTATGAAAAAGGACACACTAGTGCTTCCAGCGAAACAACCAGGGTTTACGTTGATAAAAAGTCTGAACGTATTTGGCACGCCCTCTATTCTGCACACGTGTCCACTTATAGAATCGTGTCGCTTCGCATCGTTCTTGTTTCCAACTCTTGATGGAACGATCCCCGCTCAGAATGTCTCGACTACGAGTCAGTCGGTGATGGTCAGAGGTTGATATATTAATTGTTTATTATTTTACTTACACGTAAACTTCTTCAAGTTCTACTGTGTCTCCTGTTAAGGGGCCGGAGTTTGCTGCTGCTATTCACTTCCCTTCGAACAGCGACGTCCCAGTCGAGGCAAGATTTGGAACTGAAGAGAAGAATCAGCGAATTGATAGGCGACAGATTCCGGACATCGCTCGAATTATCCAAACTACTCGACCGACTTTCTTATCGCTAGTACCTCACGAGGTTTCGTTCAGACCTGCGACTATGCCTTCCCCGGCATGGCTCTCCGTCTTGGATGGAAATCTCGTTTCCATATCTGCCATGCTGGGTTGTGTGCCTAGTGACCTCCGAAGTCAGCTCAGCTATAGTCTTTCGGACACCTGGGATTAGTGTGGAACATCTCAACTGTGCTCACACCGCATTCCTCATGTACCGGATTTCTTACCTTCCTGCTGTGTCCCAATACCGCTTGACATCCAGCATAGTAGTCAAGCACGGATCGTCCATCCTGCTCTTTGTGCTTGTAAGTTTTCGGTACGATGTCGGTAGTTCTGAAAGGTAACTCCGGAGGTGAAGTATTCTTGTGCTTTAATTAACGTTTTCCTATATCTTTGTAGTTTTTTCTCATGAAACTGGAACGTGGATGGTATCTTTGCCATGATAGCGCCGACATTAGTACGTTCCCCCCCCCGTTGAAGTTGCGCATGGAGAGTTTCAAAGCACCTGGAAAGTGCCACACTGGCATCTGCCATAACGAGGAGAATTGTCGGTGGGGGCTCACGTAGCGCCGCGTTGTCTCCTTTTCTGGCAGCCAGTCTCTCAGCACTACTTACGACGAACGCCGTCACTTCCATGTTGCTATACCGCACGATGAACGAGCAAGAGACCGGTGCACAGACAGGCGATTTCCACATTCACGTGTGATCATGTAGGCCTAGGTAGAGAATCTGTGGTTTCGAGCCGCTGTTCTTCGGAGGAAAGAGAGAAATTTGATTCCAGGAGGCATGGACTCATGGAGTTCTATTCCGCACGCGCGTCCACCACGCATCAAAAAGCCGGTGCCTCCCTCATCAAGGGTTCCAACAAGAGAGAGTAAAGGGCTGTCGTCCGTGTAGCTAAACTGATCATGCGTGCTTGCACAATATTGCAGTAATACTCCCTCGAAACCCAAGCCCACAGAGAATAGTTCACAGGTCGGAGTCACATTTATTTCACAGAGTAGACCTAAGCGACGCACAGACTACCTCATCATCCCCTCTCACTGTTTCCTGAAATCCGACAAAAAGGATCGAAACTTGTCAATCCTCTCCGGCAATGAATCAGACCAAGTTATACCAAAATTGTCGTTATAAAATATGATCATCTTGAGTATTTCCAAGTGTGAATACGTCCCAATTTGACCATTGAAGGACGGAAGGGAACCGACGTTAGGCGGGTCCGAGTCGGGCATTTTGGGTAACTTGTCCTTATTGACTTGGACATCCCTGGTACAAACTTCCAGGGCCAAGTTATAGCCAGAACCCGACGTCTTTTGATGAAGGTGGTTCAAAAAGAAACCAAAGCGAGAACAAAAAGGCGTACCATTTTCTTAAGCGGGAGAAATTCGTATGGGTGTGGAAGGTGGTTATTGAGATATATAATATGGACATTATCGGCGGTGGCTTGCGCTTTATCAGCAGCGGCCTGAGCTTGCGCCATCTTTTCGCGAACTTCACGACCCGTGTCGCCATCCTGCCAGTGGTCTCTACGGAGCTTGTTCTCCATGTTCAGTACCTTATCCTCCAGCTCCGTGAGTTTCTTTCGAATATCGACAGTAGAAGGAGTAACATAGAGAGCATTAGAATCTATGCGTCAAAATGTCAGCAACTTAAAAAACATGAGATTATGGATGCTGCTTACAAACACTCTCTACCGCAAGTTGGCGCATTTCTGCGTCAAGAATGACTTGGTCTCCTATGTCCTTATCACCGGCCGCTAGGCGTGTATTTAGTCACAGTATCATACGACAGATCGACACTCACCTTTGAATCCGTGAAGGGCCTTTGCAACCTTCCTGGCAGAGTCGATGTCCTTTTGGGTAATCTTCTCCACTGAAAGTTGTTGCCAGTATCTCTTGTCAACGTTAGGCAGTTTTGAGCGGATTGAAGAATGAGTTTCGATTTCATTGAGGCTGCGGATTTTGAGATCATCCATGTTTATGGTTGCTGTATAATTTGCGACGAGGAACCCAAAGTTTAAATACGGTTGGAGGGGCCCAATGAAGTAACAAGTCTGGTGACCATCTTCCTTCCGCGAAGCAAGGATTGAGTGAGGACTATAGAACTGTTGCTAATAATTGCTTCAGCTTCGATAAATTTTGCCGTGACACGCTGCAGCTCATCCTTCACCCATTGGTCGACCCATACCATGTCAGGCTCCTCGTAAGAGGCGTTTACATTGGACATGCGGGCGGCGCTTGCCACAGCGCTTGCGACTAAAGAGTATTCCATAGATAGTTTCCGGTAGACGTTATATTTAGTATTTCTTATTCAAGTCAAACTCGAGCATGCCACAACGCTCGGAAACTTACACTATTGACATCACTGGGCGCCTGTTTGTTTCAATTGGCTATCCAGCTACGTCTGAGCTACTAGGAATGCAGGCGCGATTTAAAAACGTGATGCTAGTGTATGTTCTAGGCGGAGATTCGGAGGTTTGGGATATGTTCCTTTCTCTGGCCCGAGTCAGCCCTCAATCGGATTGTACCACCCTGAATACGTACTCTGTGGTAAGCCTGGATAAAGATTGACTTTTAAAGTTCGCCCAAGGCCTGGCCATGGATGGATTCCCAAAATCAAAAGTCCGAGCAGTGGCACTCAGTACAACCATTCATCGAATCCTTTGTCAATGCGAGCGCTGAGAATTACGGAGGAATTGTTGATCCAAATTCTCAGCGTCTCTTGATGCAATTCAGTAAAATATACCGACTTGCGAGAAGGTTCTGTGGCATAATGCAGATATATAGTGAGCATAACGTATTAAGGCAATAGAATTGCTGGCAGGCTGCATTATCCTTGACCGGCGGTGGTTACTGCACAAGTAGTACCGTAGCGACGTGGGGTGTATTCGTTGCCGTCGTTGTCTCCCCACTAGCATGAGCAAGCATATTCTCCAAGACGGCAATTCCACACCTCTTTCCTATCGGTTCATCCAGTAAATCACTTTAGTTCAGTGATAGCCGCTCGATATTATCAAGTTACGTACTGACATAATTCAACGGGTGCAGCCAATTCAGCGGGAAGTTGGACCGGATCGTGTATGGTGTAACAGATAGCATAGATAGCCAGTGTCCACACGCACATCACTCTAATTCACGAGGGGGAATAATAGCGTACGGTACCCTAGATCTGGAGGCGTGGTCGGACTCAAGGATGCGTGGTTCCGGTAAGGATGGTGAAGCAGGTCACCTGTTGAATGGGTGGAGGTACCAGGGAGGAGAAAAGGAGGGAAGCTTTCGCCATTGTATTACTTTGAGTGGAGGCAGAAACCCTTACGGTCGTTGAAAGTACAGTAAATAATAGAGGGTATAGAGACGTTTCTAGCAGATAGCTTGATATCAATGCGTGAGTCCAACCCCTGCGAGAAATATGAGTGCGCGTCAACATCAACGTAAAAGGGACATATAGCTACACCTCCTTCATGAGCACCTTTTCTTGTTCCTTCTCCTCCTGCTCCAACTTGGCTTGGCGTGCATCCACTGCACTGAGGTACGTGTCTATTGACGTGTCCATGTCAGCAGTGGTCGACGAAGAAGAGATTGCACTCACTCCAGAACAAACTAACAACACTAACCACCACGAAGCGCATATGATGTGGATCTGAGTGGGTATGAAGACGCCCCAATTGCGGAGGATGGTCGGGACGTATGCAGCTTGGATACGCGGGTACGTTTCCTGTGGGACGCCCTCGAGCACGGACATACACGTGAAGAACGCGCCGACGGCAAAAGGGGTGAGCACGGCCTGGCCTAGTCAGACGCGGTAGACGATGGCGCGGGTGGGCGAGGCAAACTGGATGCAGTTGAGGAACTGGTACCACCATGTCATCACTGGGCCAAATAGCGTGCCGCCGTAGAATGTGAGCCGGACCGTGCGAGTGAACTGTGTGTTTGTTAGGAGGGAGGGAAGGGCTGGCAAAAGGCTACGCGCGTCATGTCGTCTGAGACCTTTCTTCTCGATGATATCGCTGGTACCGAAGAGGAGGGCTGCGGTGCCGCATTGGGCGAGCATCGACCGACGGATGAGGAGCGCGCTGTCATTGGCTTAGTGGGTAGTTGCAGAGAGACGAAGGAGGACAGACTTGTACGCGTGGAAGAGAGAGGCCATGATGGTGAAAAGCAAGCGGGGCCCCACAGATAGGGCCGCTATTTGTCCGGCGCCGCCACTTTGGCTTTGTCCGACTTTCCTTTTACGCGTCAACGACCACCGACCACCGACATGTACTTTTCCCGTCCGCCCTGTACCGTCATCCCTTTGCGCGCGCGTCTCACTACCAGCCCATCTCGGCACTCTGCTTCGTCGTTCTTCGCGCCCTCAGACAAGTCTGGCACTGTAGTCATCTTTGGCACGTACTGCAGTATCGAGCCCGTGTCATATCCCTACCGTCGCACGCCAGCGTGATACTCTCCCACAATGGAAGGTGCCTCGGAGAGCTGGCGCTGGAGGAACAGCTCCCATTGCCATTGAACAGACTCCCCGCTTGCGTTTTGGGATGCGACCGAGTTGTAGCGCAGAGTAGATGTAAAGGTGTGACGCTTGCGTCTCTTGCCTGATTTGATGTTCACAGTCTACTGACCAGCTACGCACAACCCTTCTGTTTTCGACATGTTAAGCATCTGTGGCGTCATCTTTCCGAACATCACAGAATCCTTGATCCCAGAGCCATCTCCCACTCGCACACCAACACGCACGTCCATCGAGCACTCTTTGCCCTACCAAATTTCTATTTGCTTGCCCGTGAAAAAGCTCATCACGAAACCCTAGCGCTAGCATGCATGTCTCGCAACGCCATTCGACCTCCACGTCTCTTCAAGTTCAATGGCCGGATTGTAGCGCGCTGTCACGTAGAGAACTACCATCCTTTTTGCACACCCTCCCGTTACCTGCTCTTACCAACGCCTCTGCTCTGGGAAGACCAAGTAGCGCGAGACTTACTCCACCCTGCTTCCATCTTCCCCGCATAATGTCGCATGCTGCACTTGGGGTACATGGCCAAGGCGCCCGACTATCCGAACCCCGGCCCAGGAGGAGGAAATGGAACTTCAAAGTCCCGTTCTTTCTCTTCTACCTCTCTCGCCCCAAACCAAACAATACATTAATCTCTTTCTTTAACGCGTCCGATCCAGGCACAGGTATCATACCTCCACGAAGATCGGCCTTGCGGATTCGAATGAGGGGGGCTCATTCCCTCCCCAGCGTCACTCCATCAACCCACCCACCCACCCCCTCTGCTCTCTTTTCCTTTTCACTGGGAGCCCTTTACTTATGAGGGAGGGCACCGATTCGTACTACGAATAGAGAGGCGGACGGATTGGAGTGACCTCTCTGGCCGCTGTCGCAATCCAGTACAGTGCGCGCTTTCGCTTCTTGAGATATGCTTGCTCAGTGCTGGAATATTTTGTGTTATCGGATATGGTGTAATAGCTATCATGGTCACCTGTCTTTTAGGACGCGGACTAAGTTCTTTCGCGACAGTCTGGGGTTCGATTCCCCGTATCCGAATAATTCGGCATCTATCTAGTTTTTGGTAAAGCTTTCAAGTTTGCCCTTGCGCCGGCGATCATGCTTTGTTTAACAGTTGAGTTTTCAGTATTAAGTAAAGTGTTCACCTAAATCTGAATCTGGAAAGTTCTTTTGTTCACTACAACCGCGGGGCGCGCTCGACTCAACTTTGTTGTCACTTCAGGAGGGCATGCGATGGTCTTGTAAATCAGGTTCACAGATCTTATGTGAAAGAAGACAGCGAGGGCTGCACTTCATTGGCCGATCCTCTCTCTTGCTACTCAGTTTAAACTTTACTCCGCCAACCCTCTCCATGGCCACGGAGAATGCGCGAGCTAGTACTACCACCCCTTTCCCTTCTGTCCTCAAAATTCACCCGCCGCCCTCTCCCACCTCCCTTCTCTCCGGGCATGGTTGCCGGTTCATGACTCCATGCCAACATACCACGCTGCGCTCTCCATTTTCCATCTACCCTTGCCTTCGCGTTCGAGAAACGAACTCATCACCCGTGGAAGGAAGAGTGTCGTTATTGTGACTGATGGTACATACTACACACGTCAAGTTCCCGCGCTTTTGCGAATCCGATTGCCAACAACTCTTTACTCCATCCTTCTCTGCGCTTGAGGAGGAGGTACCCTTCGCTCTTGCACTAAATCGTAAACACTAATGCGATACCACTACACTGTGAAAGAGGAAGAACTGCTCTCGTGGAACTCCTCTCTCGTTACACATATCAGGTTTTGTTCTCTACAGGAGGCACCCCCCACCTTCTTGGAGCCGCGATGTCGGCAGATAAATTCTGCGTGTCATTCTGAAATAAGGGAACTCACATTCTTGTTGATCGGATATGGTGTAACGACTAACATTGCCGCCTTTCATTTGCAAATGTGCTTCATCTTTCGCGGCAGCTCTGGGTTCGATTCCCCGCATCTGAATATAAAGTACGTTCTCAAGGTCTTTTGAAGTTTGCCATCGCGAGCGGCCGCCGGACCTGGGTCCGAGACTCGTGAATTGTGAGTCTCTTCACCTTGAACATACTCATCCTCAACGGCGTACTACACAATACTTATAATCTCATTCAATTTTACTCTTTAATTTTCTGTGACCGTTCAAGCCTCTTTTGAGCTCACACTCTGGACCCAGGCCGCCAAACACCTCAGCTGTGCTCACGCCGCGCTTTTCCAATCATCATGTCCCAGATTTCTCGCCTTGTTGCTGTATCTGAACGTGGACCGATATCGCTTGATGTCCAGCATACTGTTCGATTTCGACCGTTAATACACGTAACGCATAACGGGACCCTGTGAAGTGAAGCTCCCGGTAATTCGTAACGCGTAACAAGCCCTTCTGAGAGGTAGTATCGGCCCAATTTGGTAAAATTTGGTGGCCGGCTGGCGCCGGAGACACTATATATGGTAATTTTCCATCATATTTCGGTGAAGCTATGACAATTTTGCCATAAAGCATAACGCGTAACACCCCATGAAGCTACGGTCGAAATTGAACAGTACTCGGAGGAATCAAGTATCGGTTTTCCATCCTGCTCTTTGTACTTGTGAGTATTTGGTATTCTCGTGATACGGTGCAGGTTCGTGTGGGTAGTTCCTGAAAGGTAGCTCCCGAGATTGAGTGTCCTTGTGCTGTAATTAACGTTTTCCTATATCTTTGTAGTTTTTTCTCTTACAGAGGCCCCTACTGAGGTCAGGCGTGCCTTTGTCACTAATAACGATATCAAAGTGTGCATAAACAAGAGGAGCACTACCTCGCTCGCCAGTCAGGTATTCTCTCGACTTCATAGCATGCTCACTTCGTTGATCACCCTCAGCCTCGCCCTATACGGCTTCGCCAGTCCTCGAGAGAGAGACCCTATATCAACGTCTCTCTGTCTAGACCAGCTGCCAGTATCGACGATCTCAAGTTTACAGCGACTGTTTCCAACACCAGCTAGATCTTGAAGTACGGAACGATCTTGGAGGACATTCTTCCGACACGCTCTTTCACTGTGACAAAGGAGGTACGGACACTAGGATAAAGGTAGCTTTCCGCGATCTGATTTCTCCCGGGCGACCGATTCACTTAGTTGCAATTTCTTTGGAAGATATTGATGATTCTGCATTCGCATTCATATCTCCCGGACAGTCGGTTACTGCTGACCATAACTGTAAGTAGTATACGCCCAATCAATCGATATCTACTGATTCTAATATTATATGATCGTTGAAATATCCGCACTCTTTGACTTTGCCTGGTGCATTCACGTTTTCACCTGTTACATCGTTCCAGATGATCAATCCGGAGGCTACACTCACCAATGGTGCAAGCTTTCATCAGGCTTCGGTATCTTCCAGCTCTGTCGTTGTGAACATCTATGGAGACTTGGTGAAGCGGTATCTCCCCGTCGTGGATAAGCGTGCAGTTGACGTTTGCACTGATAATGCCAAAAAGAGCTTTATCGACGCAAGGTTGGTAATTTTTCACGACTCGTATCTTGCGTGAACTCGTCTAAAATACGTTGTAGTTATACCGAAGGGAAAGCCTTGGCTTCTATAGCGTCTGCTTATATTTCCGCCAACGGTAGTAACTCTCTACACCGCTTACTATGGTTCTACGCCTACAAGCGCGGTTTGCACAGTGTTTGATAACGTTGCAAACGAAGCATCGAACAGCAGGAAGTACGTGACTACGTCATTTCCACCGATCATCCTATTCAACTTCTCAAAAAAGACCCACAGACTGGACTGCAGGGATCGATATGGTTTTTGTAGCCCTGGTGTTGTCGTCTATGCGACCCTACCTCTTCAGGATGTACGTTTTGTACCGTTCGCGTGTTAAAACTGACCAGTGAGTTCTGAGGATTTGTAGATTTAGTTCTGTGACATCTTTCAATGAGGTTCCCCAGACCGATCTTTGCGGTGGGAGCTTTACTACGGTGAGGTCCCACAATGTTCGAGGCGGGACCGTCCTCCATGAGGTACTTAAAGGTGCACTGATAAGCGGGCTCACGGTTCTTGTTCTTTAGCTCACCCGTTTGATCTCCGATACCCTCGACGTCATCTATGGCTGTACGAACGACCAGAACCTTCTTGCTGCCGAACAAGTTGTCAATGCTGATAATTACAATGCATGTCCTACGCCATATATATGTAATTCTATCTGATATTATTGCCAGTGCTTCGCAACTGAGGTTTACTGATACTAAGTGCAGCTAGAAGCGGTCCCGGTGTCACATACAAACGGAGAAGTCCCTGAATCGAGCTCGATATGTCGTTCACGTAGTGTTGTTCATATGTGAATGACGTCTCTATCTCTGTAAATATTTGTGCCTTCCAAAGCCCCAGGTCAACGCCGAGTTCAAGTTATTACAGGTCTTCATCGGCAGAAGCTCGTTTGTGTTTAATCTCAAATGGAGAAACGAAGGGTAGAACTAGTATCAAGGGAGTAAAGATGAAGCGGTTGAACGATGATTGTAATGAACTTGTGAGTCGTCCGTCTAAGCATGGGGAACAGTAACGTTCGCGCAGACAGCGCAAACCGGCCATATCGTAGCACCATACCAGTCGCTATCATCCATATCAGGCTGTTCAAACCCAGCGGGAGGAAGCCCATTCATAGTCTTCCAAGACCCATCAGTCGAATAAACCTCCTACGTCCCATCATTGAACGCAACCAGCATACTCGCGGCAAGGTAGACCCTATCATTGACTCCAGCACTCGTCTCACTGACAGCGACCAGGTTCATGTCCGTATCCAACTCGGGGACCGAACAGGCCTGCATTTTCGTCCAGCCCGATCCACTACCAATGTTCTTGCCGTTGACGTAGAGAGTATACGAGTCCTCCCTAGAAAGCAGAATGAGATATCTAATAAATGAGAACATGAAGAGACGTACGCAGAGAGAACGACCTTACCGCAGACAGCAGCTTTCCCATAGGGCGAAGTGATGGTCTTCCGGAAGGGCCTCTGGCCGAGACCGATAGCACTCCCGCCACTCTCGTCCGTCTGGATCCAATGCACCCCGGTCATGTTCAAGGCGGGAGGAAGGATAGGCGACTTCCAATATGTGTTCGCCGTAGGTCCTTCCGATACAGCAGGAGTCCATGCCGAATCATTATAGCTTGGGCTAGTCCATCCACCAAGAGGAACAGCTTTCATCGTCTTCCAAGTATTGTCGCTTACGATCATTTCGGTGGTACCATCCGAATAGTCCACAAGCATAGTAACGATAAGTCCAGCTGGTCCGCCGATGTTCCCTCCAGCAATGGCAGCAATGGCAACAACGTTGTGACCTTCTGGATCCAAACCAACAGTGAAGACGAAGGAGTAGACCGGTGTGTAGGGGGGACTGGGACGGAGGCAATCCCCCGATCCATTTTTTCTCTTCCATTGACGAAGAGTGAATAGTAATCATCACTAGATATGTTTTGAGTACAGGCGCATAAAAGCAATTGGCGGATAAACTCACCAAGAGATGATAATGGTCGCGCATACCGGACATTTCGTGCTGGAAGAAGGGACTGCCTTACGGAACGGCCGCACTCCTGCGGGGGCGTCACTGGTATTGCCCGATCCCGTCTGCTCTCCCGTCCAGATCCACGTGGAATGGGTAAAGTCGAGGACGGGGGCAACATCGCGGGCATCCAACGATCGTACCGAGGTAGTGTCTAGATAGAAATGGTTGAGTTAATAAATAGCGCATCATATAGTGCAACTGACCTGCGCCGCCCTGAGTAGGCCCTGCGTTTTCAATGCCAAAAAGGGCGGGTAAGAGGAACAAAACTAAGAGGGCGTCAGCCATACGAGCAAACGAAGGTAGAAGTTAGCTCTCACTCTTAGAGAACATCTTCGATAGAACTGGGATAGAACTTTGCTCGACAATGATTTTCAGTTGCACTTCGAGTCCCTTTATACCAGAGATAATTTCCAGAAGCGTCCTAGACCCAACAATGCATACCATCGAGCTACCAAGCACGGATTGACAAGACAGACTAGAGGATCATCTTCTCTTTCGTCAATCCCGTCGCGGCATACTAGCACATGAGACACTAGATGCGAGTATTCGTGTCCAATCCACTCGTACCGTCAGGCTGGAGCACGCATTGAACAGGCTAGTGACGCCCGGATTCGGGAGTTGATTCTTTCCGTGCTGTCATTTTGGACGGACGAGCGACTTGAGGTGAAGGAGACCTTCCTGGACCGCCATGTCGTCCAAAGAAGTTGCACGGTGAGCAGACATTGAATGGAGCATGCCAGCCTCCAGTGCGAGTGTCAGCCAAAACAGAGCATGAAATGAATGATGCATATGCACGGTTCTTGAAGGGCACGCCGAGGGTGTGGCATCTTGCTGATAGGTGTTCGAGCAAAATGACTGCGCGACCATAATTCAAGGAGAAGAAGGAAGGTCAGATGGCGCAATACAACGTTCACTCCGCCTTTATAACGAGATGTCATACGTATCAGACTGTAGTCGGGGGATTACCAAGCCTTCCTCGTGTCACGGGAATGTGACCCAGCGAGAGGGTGTGTAGACTCTTCCGACGCTTGCTACATATCTCAATCGTCCATGGAACCTCGGCCGTCAGAATCGAGTCGCAGGCTGTTGCCTCCGACAGAACGGTTCCCCACTCAGAACGACTCGACTAACTTGCAGGACGATTCGTTGTTTCTGAGCGAGGAAAGGTGAGGATTAGGCATTCGAAAAACAGCAGAGACTTATTAGTAGCTCAAAGCCAGAAAGCAAAGACGTTGGTGATGGTTTGTGACTTAAGTTCAGAGTAAATACCAATACTCCCAATACTCCGAATAACAGGGGCGCTCCTTTCAAACATGACACAGAAGCTAGCCTACAAGGCAATAAGAATCAACAAAATGCGGAAACAGAAACGACGACGACGCACAAAAGAGAACCTAGAGTATGCCAAAGCAGCAGCCGAGGAAG